ACCCCAACCGTCCCAAGGCTCCACCCCCAAATCTCCAGGAATTTCCCAACCTGGAGCTGGCAGCCCTAAGGTAAATTGATCTCTGTAGCTGGGAGATCCATTGTGATTCCCAGATCGCTGCCACTGCTGCTGTGGGGGGAGAGGAAGCAGGCAGGAGGCTGGGAGAGTGATGGGGCAGAAATAAAGAATGATGAGGTGGGGGCAGAAAGAGAGAGAAAGAGTGATGAAGTGGGGAGGCAGAAAAACAAAGAGAAAGATGACAGGTCAGAAAGAGAGAGGAAGTCACATGCATGGAGGAGAAAAAGAGAGTAAGAAAAGGGGGACAGAGGGGAGAAATAGTGTGAGAGAGGTAGGGGGTGAGGAGAGGAAGCAAAGGTATGACGAATGAGATAACCATCCCACAAGTTGCAGGTCTCCACTTGTTCCTTTCTAACACTGAAAGAGTTTTTTTCTATTTCAATTAACAGCAATCTTTTTTTCAAATTCTACTATGCTTGCCTTTTTGTATAGATCTGCAGAATGTCTTTTGACACAGGATAAATACATTCCATATCACAGTATTATAAACACCTTGACAATGATGGCTTGGCCATATTGTATGGCTCCACAGGAAGAATTAATAGAATGGAGAACAGTGTGAAGAAATGCTTTTTTTCTTTGGCGTTTTGACTCAAGCAAAACCTTCACCAGCGAGTTTTAAGAGTAGAGGTAGTGGCAATCCAAAATTGGGAGCCCCAAAAAACCAAAAGGCTGGTCAGGGCTTTCCTGGGCTTGGCTAAATACTGCAGATGGTTCTTCCCAGACTTTGGGGCTATAGCAGACCCCATCTCCTTGCTCAACAAGAAGTCCCTGACAGGCAAAGACCCCCACCTGTCAGGCTGCTTTTGAGCAGTTAAAGAGGGCTTTGATTTCCCTGCCATCCTCAAAGCTCCTGACTTTTAAAAAGTGGGGTTTTGTCATAACTGAAGCGGACTATGGAATTGGGGCCATTCTGATACAAGAGTGGGAGGAGGAGGAGGAGGAGGAGAAAGAAGAGGAGGGGAAAGAGGAGGAGGAGGAGTTGGATTTATACCCCACTCATTTGGAATCTTAGAGCAGCTTACACTCTCCTTCCTTTCTTCTCCCCATGACAGACTCCCTGTGGGGTAGGTGGGGCTAAGAGAGCTCTGAGAGAACTGCTCTTGAGAAATTAGCTCGGAGAGAATTGTGACTGTCCCAAGGTCATCCAGCTGGCTGCATGTGGAGAAGTGAGGAAGCAAATCTGGTTCTCCAGATTAATGTCTGCCACTCTTAATCACTACACCAAACTGGCTTTCCAAACCTCCCATAGTGTATCTGAGCAGGAAACATCCCTTGGGAGAGAAACCTGTCTTCAGTGCAGAAGGAGTGTTTGGCAGTCATGTGGGCACTAAACAAACTCAGGCCTTATTGGTGTGGGCAAGAATTTACCTTCTTAACAGACCACTAATCCCTTCAAGGGCTGTAAATAATGAAGAACTCAAGTACTAAACTTGCAGAGATGGCCATGGAAGATTAAGGAGTTCATCATAAAGATTGAACATATTGCTGGATGCAATGATGTGATTACAGATTCCCTCTCCAGGAAGAACATAGACTCTTTTAAAAGACTAATTCCTAAGTGTGATGTCATGCTGGATTCCTATGTGTGGTATCATGCTGGATGACTTGCATGTAAATTCTCTAATGTGAAATATTATCTTGTACATTTCTTATAAACTGTCCCCATGGTGACCAGGCTCTGGGCAGCAGGAAACACAGAGGCAAGGAATCAAAACTGGGAAGGGAAGCTGGGAGTCCTGACTCTCCCAACTGGCAATTCCTATGAAAGTCAGGTGGTGGTGGTGAGCTACCTGAGAGAGAAGAAAGCCACTCCAAGTGGTGGAAAAAACCTTGGAAGGCTCCTGCCCTGCCCTCGCCCTGCCTCTTGTAGCCTGACTTAGTGAGCCCCCACTGGTCCAGCCCACACCCTGCCCTACCACAGATCATGCATGGACATGGCTGCCTTCTTCTGTCCTCCCCTTTCTCCTGCCCTACAAACCATGGTGAAGGAGACCCCATGCTGGACTTTAGTCTCTTTGTCTTCAGCAGCAGGTTGCCCACTCTCACATTTTGTGCTAGATGATATATAAGATACTTTACTCTCATTTGTACTGTCACAGCAGGGTGGTTTGGTTATTGGGACAGGTCCATTGGGGGGGATGCTCATGCCTGCATACATACCTCCCCCATTTCGGGGGGTCATAAGGAGCCCTGGGGTGTGGAACCACTAGCTGCAGGCCCAGGGGGAGTCTGCCACTGACTTCCACCCCCAGTTTCAGGGGGACCATTCAGAGGCTGGTGCCCACCTGTATCGTGGTATCCTGCCACTCCATGGACAGGAAACCCAAGCCATGTATAAGAAGACATATCACAATAATTCATAAACCCAGAGTTAGAGGTATGATGTTATCCTCTTAATCACTAAGAAAGCTTGTGTTACTGTTCTGCTGTTCTCAGCATGCATGCGAACAGAAGCAGAAACATGGCACTCTTGCTGTCTACACAGCTGATATTTCCAAAAGAAAGCAGAAAGAGAGAGAGAGAGAGAGAGAGAGAGGAGGAGGAGGAGGAGGAGGAGGAGGAGGAGGAGGAGAGACTCAGTGACACAGCACAGTGTCCCACCCCATGCACTGTTGTAATGCATCACATATTCTACCTCTCTGGTTAGAAATTTTCCCTTCTGGGCATGAAATGCAATCATAGCAGCAAAATGGCTTCCCTTCCTTCTTCTTCTTCTGATAACCTGGATAACAGTGGTCATTACAGAGAGAAAGTGGTGTCACCTGTCAATAGAAAACTTATTTTAAGAATATTTCCTTGAACTGAAATGAAATGTATTGCATAAAGCATGATAACTGAAGCAATGTACAAAAGCAGTACAAAATCAGTGTAGACACTTTCTGTCATTGAGAAATACGGCCTTTATAACCAGGATAAATCCCAGAAACCACCAGGTTCTGGGGCACTTAGCATGGAAATCAAGTGACCAGAATCTTTAATGGACTCTAGCTTGGGAGGCAAAGCAGAGGGCACTGAGCAAATGTGAGATGAATACATAAACATACAACAGACTAAAAAGCAAATTAACAAGCAGAGCAGAGCCATCAAGCACTTCAAACTGTTTTATCAGGGACAGAGATTTGCTGTGTATTCCTAATTTTTGTTTCAGAAGCAGGGGTCATTTTCTGCAGGAGCACACAAGAACGGAGCTCTGGCAGTAAAGACCCCGGGGGGCGGGCACATGCAATAAGCCCCACCCCCTGCTCCCAATGGTCCTCAGTCAGAGCAGGAAGCAGCCAGGTAAGCTGCAAAGCCCCCCCCCTCAGCCTCCCAGTCCAAAACAGTCCAGTGGCACCTTTAAGACCAAGTTTTATTCAGGTACAAGCTCTCCCTCCTCCGTGAGGACAGATCTTCACGTCCCCCCCCCAATACCTAGCAATCCAAAACAGTTCAGTGGACCCTGAGCGGTGGGTGTTGCCTTCTGACACAATAAATTATGCTAATGTTATGCTAATGAGGTCCTGCACCTCTTCTATGAAATGACCCCTGTTCAGAAGGCTTTAAAATATGAATAGAGGATATAAGCTGGTTGCAGACCTAATTTTATTACACAGCTAGGTTAAAATTCTCCCTGGCATTTTACATGAGCATACAACTGTAATGAATAAAACACACTATGCTAGAACCACTGGGTTTTGTTTCAGCATAGCATAGTATTGTTTTGGAGGAAAA